GACGGCTTTACGTGCTCTCCGAGGCACGGGGGTGAAACACCGCCAACTTCCCAACTCCGAGCTCTGAGGCTTACTATACAGAAAGACTCAATAACTTAACTTGGCCCGACCCGGGACTCGAACCCAGGACCTCCGGGTGTGCAGCCGTACATGCTAGCCACTACACCACCGAGGCAGTTATTTATGTAAGGCTGCAAGGAAGCCTAATATCATTTTTATTTAAAAATATTGTTATTATTGAAATTATATATAATTTTGGAATGGATAGAATATATATTATAATTCACAAAAAAATATAAGTATCTTTGGATACGGAACCCTAACATGTATAAATATGTATTTAAAAATAACACTTATAATAAGCAATTTACATTCAATATATGTGAACAGATGACATGTTAATTATACCGCCGCGCCGGCGCATACGTCATTTTTTGTTGTGAAGGAAAATATCGATCTTGTTTCTGCGCGGTTAATCCCTGTGCTTATATGTACGTATATTGTATGATACAGGTGCAAAAGAGGTCCTTTCACATTGACTGAAGTGTTTAATTTCTATTTATTTAGTACTAAATTTTGTCCATCAAGAACCACGATATTAAGAAAATTGATGCCTTTCAAATGTGGTGCTGGCGTAGGCTGTTGTGCGTACCGTGGACCGCTAAAAGAACTAATAAATCTATTCTTGCCGAACTTAAGATCACGGAGCGCCTCTCCACTGTCTGTCAAAGGAAGCCCTAAGATTTTCCAAGCGATCATCCAAGCATAGCCTAGAGAAATATATTATCTTAGGCCAAATTGACAGTAAACGCGCACAGGGAAGGACACCTTTATGGTGGTCGGATGCGATAAAGATGTCAGTAGGCGCTACTCTCCATGCCGCAGTCCAGGCATCGTTGAACCGAACTGACTGGAAAAAAATCATAAGTGGTCACGATCCTCATCAGTGAGGGAACGACGAAGAAGAAGAAAATTTTGTCCCCGGCTTCGCTCGTATGCCACGCCATGATTTCATCAAAATCTGTTCAACGGTTTAGTTGTGAAATGTGATGGACAGAAAAATGTTACTAAAGTATACCTATTATTTCATTTTACAATTTAATTGAAATAAAATCGACTAAATTTCGCCTACAACTCCAGTCCACAATTTTTTTCATGCCTGTTGGCAAGATCCTGAATAAATAGGCTATAAAATATAAAACCTAAAAATATTTTATTTAAATCTGATTGGTGAGATTCATGCGATTAAAAAAAGCAAAATATCAAACAATTTTTTAATTTTCAAAATATTAGTTAAAAATATAGAAATTTTTATTGCGATTTCATTTTCAAATTTACAAAACACAAAACTTTTTATATTACCAAAAAAAATATTTTGACTTTTTTGATGTTATTTTTAATATTCTAGTCAGTATGAAATACTCGTATGTTAGCTGCTTAGTAATAAATAATACGAGTTCATTTTGAGTCCTTGACCGATGTTATTGGATGATAAACAAATATAGCTAATATTGGTCTATCTTTCTTTAATTTGCTGGTGTATTTGACGGTTTTGACGACACGTTTGGCTCAGTTTGTAGTGACCCTACTAGCTGTGCCAGCGGTCGCGGGTTCGAGTCCCGCTGAGGGCCATTCATTTGTGTGATGAGCACGAATGTTTGTACTTCAGTCGTGGGTGTTTATATTTATAATGTGTATGTATTTAAAGTTATATATGTGTAGTGTATCAACTATCTGGTATCCATAACACAGGCTTCGTAGCTTACTATGGAACTAGATGGTGCTGTGTGTTAATGTCCTAACATATATATTTATTTATTTATTTACAATAATCATTTTGCAACTATCATCAGATAATGATGAACCAATAAACGAAACTCGGACCAATTTAGCACTTGGTTCATATTCTTGCTAGACAGTGCCGGATTCAACCTCAGCGCCGTTCCTGGGCATAGTAAAAATGCCGCCATATTATCGAATTTTGGATGAAATGTTGAAAGTTGAAATTTTTTTAATAATAATATTTTTGAAAATGCAAAAAATTAATTTATGATATTAGTTTTTCGAAAAATGTACTTACTAGTTAATCTTTTTTTTATGTCCATTTTTTGTAAAATAAAAAAAGGATTTTCGATAACGCGAAGAAAGCTTTTTACTCCCGCCCTCCGAATTTTGCCGCCCAAAAAAATCCAGGGCTGTTGCCAGATCATATTACTATGCACAACTTGATATACATACTTGTTAAACTCTCAAAAAAATTAGCTCACGATGGCCAATCTCAAGAAGATATTGTAACGGAATAAGTACACTCTCCATACGTTTTACTCTCGTATTTTAATATGACCAGTGAGAATTAAATTGAATTCATTTAAAATTCTCCATTATGGTTTATGAGATACAACCCGCTGACAGACATACGGACGGATAGCGGAAGCTTTATAATATATAATTAATACCAGTTGGCATCATTCAGGTATGGAACCCTAAAAAGATAATTTACCTACAATAGAACAATATGATAAGCATCCAGGAAAGTTTATGACAATTGTCTAATTTATACAAATATGTGCATATGTATGTATGTCTTTTTTATACCGGTGAAGATTTCTGACCGACAAAACAGGAAAAAGCATATAGAGCCATACGTAATGAATTTATCGTATTCGTAATGATACCTCTATATTAAATGATAAAATGTATAATTTACTAGCATTGCCCGCGGCTCCGCCCGCGTTCAGAAGACCAAAAACCTAATTCTTAGGTTTTACATAATAATATACTCTTACATTGCAGTTTTTGTATTTTTTTCTCAGAAATGAGACATTCTCCCGCGGTAAAAAGTATCCTATATGTTGACCCGCATAATAATGTTTATTTCAATTAGATTTTCCAAAAAAATTTAATGTACAGATTCGACTTAGTTACAAATTTATTATATGTATAGACTAGCGGCTCGTCTTAGGTACGTCTTAACGGTTAGTATGAAATACAAATCTTTGTATTTCCCGGCTTTTCTGTACTATAATATGCATGTACTTATTATACATATAAACCTTCCTCTTGAATTAATCTATCTATTAAAAAAACCGCATCAAAATCCGTGGGGTAGTTTTAAAGATCTAAGCATACATATGGACAGACAGACAGCGGGAAGCGACTTTGTTTTATACTATGTAGTGATTGCTCCGCTACCTTGGGAAGCTTATAGCCTTTCTAAATAAACGGGTTATCTAATATAAAAAGAATTTTTCAAATCGAATTAGTAGTTCCCGAGATTAGCGCATTCATCACGTATCATCAGCATCATCTATCATCAGCATCACGTTTCATCAGCATCACGTATCATCAGCATCACGTATTAGCTAAAGCCAAGACTTACGCATTTAATGGCTGATTTAACAGAATCATACACTGAGGTCCTTTTATAGACTCAGAACTAAAGTCTAAGAAAAAGTTTAGGTGCAGGAGCTTCTATAATATTTAAATCGAGTACGAGTCCAATTCGCACACGAAGGGTTCCATACCATCGTACATGTACTTTTTATTAATATGACTTTTACTCTATGTATGTAGTATAATAACTTCGATGATCGATTATGAGCGTTAAAAAAAATATTGTATTTTTATTTGTTATAGCGGCAATACAAAATCTGTGAAAATGTCTACTCTCTACCTGTTACGGTTCATGAGATACAGCCCTCTGACCGACGAACTGATAGCAGAGGTTTAGTAATGGGGCTCTGTTGGCACCCTTCGGGTACGGAACCCTAAAAAGGAAATAACCTGAGCCTAATGAGCTAAAATGTCCCAACCTCTCGAGTTTTAAAGATTTTTTGATTCAACAGTTTTTATGTGTAAATAAAATATTAAATAATAGTAAAAAAAATACATTTTTAAAAACAAGCTTTTATTTAAATGCTCTTAAAAGAAAATAAGCTTTAAATTAAATTTAATTTAATTAAACAAACAATTTATTGTCATGAGAATTCTTATTTTAGAAAATACTTTTTATTTTTCAAACTTTTTGTTTTTTGTTTATCTACATACTAGGCAACTTATTCATAAAAAAAAAATTCTCCAAAAATTTTACTCCGTCTATAGAATATTTAAAATTAATAGATTCAGCCGTTCTCAAGTGAAACGCTTGCCAACGGCCAGCATTCATTTTCTTTATCAACGAGTAGATACACAGTCTAATCGACATACTAATATTATAAATGCGAAAGTAACTCTGTCTATCTGTTACCTTTTCGCGGTTAATCCACTAAATCGATTAAAATGAAATTTAATATGGAGGTAATTCGAGATCCTAGTTATATCCCGGAAATCATCCCGGAAAAGGGGGTGGAAGTTTGGATGGAGAATCAATCATTTCTCAAGTAAAGTATATATAACTCATCATACCTATGTCTATATAGTCTATCTATTCCATACAAAGAAAACGTAGGGACGTGAGTCGCTAGTCCATACTAATATTAATAAATGCGAAAGTGTGTTTGTTTGTTTATTTGTTTGTTTGGACACGGAGTTTGTCGGTCGGAGTTTGTCGAAACGGAGTGACGGATTGGCGTGATTTTTTTGTGTGGAGATTTTAGTTGGAGGGCTGGAGAGTGACATAAGCTACTTTTTACCGCGGGAGATTATCTTTTTCCCACGGCAAAACACGTTATTATTGCATTAATACCACTAAAAAAATATTTATGATCAGAATTACTTGAAATGTGGTACTAATGCTCTTCAATGCAATTAAATGAATACGTGTTTTAGCATTTTTCGAAATTCATCCCATAAGTATGAAACCTACTTTTTTAGAGTTCTTTTGTACTTTTAGCGCGAGCGAAGCCGCGGGTTGTGATAGTAATAATATAAATCCAATAAAATAACCATTTTTCTAGAGCCATTAACACAAATAACATATGAATTAAAAAAAAAAACAATTACACTATTATTTTATTAAGGACATTTATTAAATCATTCAAAGATTCAAATTAAGTGTTTTACAGAACATAAAGCAAAGTTTCGACATAAACTTCTCCATATTCATTACGAGCTCTGCAGCCATAATAACCACCATCGTCTTTCTGAACACCATGTATAGACATGTCAGATATACTGATATTCCCGTTTGAAGACTCCTTTAGAACCGCCTTTGAAGGCAAAGCCTCAGTATTGCGAGTCCAAGTTATTTTGGGCAATGGAGTACCAGTCACTTGGCATGGGATGGTCACGTCTTCACCAGCTTTTACTACCATTTTGGGTACAACATTTATGAATAATTTGGGTTCGCCTGTGAATAAAAAATAATTGTTATAATACATACAGACGGACATAAAACCTGTTTTTTTTGAAGTCGGTTATGCAAGCTTTTAGGCTTTAAAGTATGTAGCACTAGAAATTTATAAATTAAAAAAAATTAAGGTATGCCTGAGAATAATCAATATATATATATATATATATATATATATATATATATATATATATATATATATATATAATTAAAATCAAATAAATATTATAAATGCGAAAGTTTGTACGGATGGGATGTTCGTTACTCAATCACGCCAACGGCTGAACGGGTTTGGATGAAACTTGGCACAGAGATAGATTATAGTCTGGAATAGCACATAGCTTACTTTTTATCCCGCAAAATCTACGATTCCCGTGGGATAAATTTGTTTTTGTTTTTCACAGAACAAGGGATCGACTATCAATTTAGGGTACTCCCTAAATAGCCCAAGCGACGCGAGGTGAGTCGCTAGTGTTTTTATAATTTATGTATCTTTGGACTCATTTTACAATCTGTCTATAGAATAATCTCTAAAATATGTTAAAATTGTGTTATGTTTAAATAATAATCTACTATCTATATATTATATAAATAAATAGGCATTGACAAAACAGATCGGAACCTTTTTCTCCTCTCTTTGTCAAGCAGTTTTTTTTTATTTAGTAGCTAATATAATACTTTCTTAGAATATATAAAACAAAATAAATTCGCAAAATAATTCGAAAAAAAAGTTTTATTTAAAATATCAAATATTCGCGTAAATCTAAGAAAGTATTATATTATCAATAAAAAAAATTAAAAAACAATTTTTTCCACATTTAGCAAGTTTTTTATAATGATTATGGTCCAATTTCAACCTCTGTGCGAATACTAGTTTATATAAAATAAATAAAACAAAATTAACAAAATGTAAAAAAATCATTATATACTCACTGACAACCTTGAGACGCATAGTGCTTTTCTGTAACTTCCCAATTTCATTATTCACAGTGCAAGTGTATTCTCCCTCGTCTGAAGCCCACACGTCTTTGATGATCAGACGTTTACCAACACTTCTGTTATATCTGGTTACACGGTCTTTTGAATCATTGTTGACATCCTTACCATCTTTGAACCAGTCCGGATGAGCCAGGGGACTGATAATTGAAAGAAATCACATCTAAATTCATTTTCAATTTTAAAGAATCACTTAGTTCTAAAAGCAAATCCACAAAATAATTTGGAAAGTAGCACATAACACATTTAAGTCTAAATTGACAAAAATATACAAAACGAGACAAAATGGTTGGTTTCTTAATTGAGGCTCATATTAACAATACAAATGTTGAACCTCAATATCTAAACGAGACGCCTAAAAGGTAATGTCACTAAATTCTTAAAACCTTTAAAATATGTATAAATCACAATACTTACTCGCCACCGTAAATGCAGTACAAGTAGATGGACTCTCCCACTTTAGCGGTCACTTCATTGGAGACATATTGTTTAACAACTTCATGATCTTTCGGGCCATTGTCTGGTACTATATCTTCTAGAACATGTTCTGCCAACGGCACAGCATCATCAGAAGCCGGAGTTTCTCCAAGACATACATATGTTTTATCTACACCAACATCTTCTTTGTTAACACTTGCAAAATACAAAGTTCCTTCAGGAGAAATGGTAAATTTGGCGCCCTTAACTGGATTAAATTCTCCTCCCGATTTAATCGCCCATGTTATTTCTGGCTTGGGATAAGATTTGGGGATGTTACATTCAAGTTGGTAGGTTTTCCCGTCAATAGGCTTGTGTTTTTTGAGTTCCACTTTCGGTTTTTCAATGAAGTATTTCTTAACATTTATAGCTCGGGAAGTGGCAACCCCAAAATCGGATTGAGCTAAGCATTGATATTGTCCTTCGTCAGAATCTACGGGGTTTTTGAAGATGAGTGTGCCTTCCTTCTCTTGTTGCTTGATGTCAGGTCGAGGACTGAACGGTTTCCCATCTTTTAACCAGGAATATCTATAAGAATATGATATATTTTTCAATAAAATATTAAGTAATGCGAATTTTTTCATAGAACAAAGAAATATATCGTAACGTCGGAAAAAAAATCCAAAAATTTGCGAAAATGTCGCAAAAGATAGTTTTATTTAAAATGCCAAATATTTCCGTAAATCTAAGAAAGTATTAATATCGTAAAGTTTATATACTAACAGTACTTAAAAAATATAATATAGAGTGCTTTTTTGGGAACAAAAAAAAAGCAAAAATAAAAGATTCGCCCCTATCACAAAAAAAAAATCATCAACAGATACACGATTAAAATGTTATATTCATGAATGTACCAACAAGGAAAACAGCATTTAGTATACTTTGTTGATATCCATCTCTATTGTACAGATAATATATATATATATATTATCACACACACACATATATATATATATATATATGTGTGTGTGTGTGTGTAATACAATAAATAAAATAAGTTAATAATACATAAATAATACAAATCATGTGGCCATCGTGGACCCCCTGTTCCCCCTTTCATTGAAGGGCCCGTCCCTAGTAATGGGATTTTGAAAAGGGGTGATTTATTACTTAAATGGGACAAAGGCTCAGTTTGGGTGAGTCCAGATGAGAGAGAGATGCCCAATGCGTTAACCTATGTGTTATTCTAGCTAGTAGTCTATCTGTCGGATCGTGCATCCAAATCCGTTCGGCCGTTACAGCGGGAACGAGTAACAAACAAACAAACAGACAGACAAACAAATACATACGAACTTTCACGGTTTATAATAATTGTCCAATACATAAATAATACGTACTTGACATGGTCATCGCTCTGGATAGTAGCACAGTTTAAAACCAGATCTCCTCTATCCGGAACCCTGAAGTTCACTTCAGCTGGAACCTCCTTCAGAATCGGTAGGTTTGGTTCCACCGGTTGTGATGCGCCTGGATTTAGAAGTAGTATTAGCTGAATTCAAATGAAAGAAGAAGTAACAAATGTATTGTATTGTATTCAGCCCTTTTTAACGTCCCACTGCTGGGGGTGGGCCTCCCTTCAGTATGAGGGGGATCAGGCCATAGTCCACCACGCTGGCCAAGTGCGGGGACTGAGCATGTCTTTTAAAAACTTGCTAGGTTCTCTCAGAAATGCAGGTTTCCTCACGATGTTTTCCTTCACCGTTAAGACAAGTGGTAATCATGTTGGGAATGATTCGCACATGAAAATATCAGAGGTGCGTGAACCGGGATTTAAACCCGCTTCACTCGGTTTCCCAAACGAGCGCGTTACCACTGGGTTAACACTGCCTTGTAACACATAGCATTTACAAATTATTACTAAAGTTATCCCGCGGTTCTACACGTGTATTTTAATTATGTATTAGTATATCTTTATAAATAACTAGCGACTCACCCTCACCTCGCTCGGGCGCGTCCCTAGGTACGTTTTAACATTTTTGAGCGGAACCCTAATTCTTTTTTTAAATTAAAAGTTACTTCTTATAACATCAGCTATCTGCCGTGAATATCCCGTCAAAATCGGTCAAGCCATTTCGGAGATTAGCCGGAACAAACAGACAGTCAGACAAAAAAATAAAAAAAAATATGTTTTTATCATAAGCACCGTATATAATTTCATATGCATTTAATAAAAAGCTGTTATTTTGACATTACAAACAGACACTTCAATTTTATTTATCTGTAGACTGTATTATCTGTAGGTATAGATAATAAAAACTAGTAATCATATAAAGCAACATTCACGTCAATCTGTTACTTTATTGATGAGTAAAAAAACAACAAACAAACCCATCAAAAAACATGTTCTTACACTCACAATACAAAACAGAATTTGGTTTTTAATAATGCATAAATAAATTAGAAAAAAATAGTCATGATGGAAAAAAAAAAGTTATTCCATAAGGCAATGAGAATATAGATTATATATTGTTTTTTTTCCTTTCATGTCAAAAACCAGTGACATTGGTCGACAAAATCATTTTTTAACCCCCGACGCGAAAAGAGGTCACTTATAAGTTTGACGTCGATGTCTGTCTGTGTGTGTGTCTGTCTGTGAAAAAGAATATATATATATATATATATATATATATATATATATATATAGTCTATTCCATACGTCAAAGCGTACGGCTTTATTTTGTAAAAATATGGTAACACATAATTAAAAACGCATGTGAAACCGCGGGAAAACGCTACTTTCGTCATAAAAAATATGAAAGTAACTAAAGTAGGATTTTTCAATTAGAAGATAAATTAATATGAACTTTACTCACATAAAGCGCTGACCGCCAATATTAAACAGACTTGCAACATTGTTCACCTGCAAAATTATTTATACATATAATAAAATTGTAACTAAGTCGAATCTGTACATTAAATATATTTTTTGGAAAATCTTATTGAAATAAACATTAGAATCGATACAGAGGCCTAATCTATAGTTTTTAAAATTTTTGTCTGTCTGTCTGTTAGCGCATCACAGAAAAACCACTAGAGGGATTTTGATTAAATTTAGTATGATGATAACTGGTTATCCGGGTCAACATATAGGATACTTTTTACTGCAGAAAAATATCTCATTTCTGAGAAAAAATACAAAAACTGCATTATAAGAGTATACTAATATGTAAAACCTAAGAATTTGGTTTTTGGTCATCTGAACGCGGGCGGAGCCGCGAGCAATGCTAGTCTTATACATAAAATTATAATACAAAAACCTTACTTAAACAAATATTTTTAACCAATATTGGAGGAGGCCAATAATTTTGATTATATTTTCGTATTTGTATCGTACTTATGGATGGTTTCGTATAAATTAAAAAAAAAATCTTTTAAGAAATCTGTATACTTAAATATTATAAATGTGAAAGTTTAAGTGGATGTATGTTTGTTACTCCACCAAAACGGCTGAACGGATTTGGATGAAATTTGGCATAGATATAGGCTACTTTTTATACCGGAAAATATACGGTTTCCGAGGGATAGATTTGTTTTTTTTTTCTAGAGGCGAACCCGAGCGAAGCGAGTGTGAGCCGCTAGTCTTAAATAAAACTATCTATTCGGATTCTTTAGAGCAATCATGGTCACCGCCGGTGAGACAAAGACTAAGGAGAAATAATCCGAAATGATAGTTTTATTTAAAACTAGTAGAACCCGCGGTTTCGCTCGCGTTAAAACTACAAAAAGATCTCTAAAACGGTAGGTTTCATACAAACTTTTATCCCCTATTTTACCCCCATAAAGGATGAATTTTGAAAACTGCTAAAACACGTATTTTTTAATTACATTGAATTGCATTAATACCAAGTTTTAAATAATTTTTTGGGTTGTCTTATAACGTGTTTTCCCGTGGGAATCAGATAATCTCCCGCGATAAAAAGTAGCCTATGTCACTCTCCAGCCCTCCAACTATCTACAAACAAAAAATTACGCCAATCCGTCACTCCGTTTCAACGTGAAAGAAGGACAATCCAACATGAAGAAAAGACAAACAAACAAACAAACAAATAAACACTTTCACATTAATAATATTAGTATGGATGTCAAATGTTTGAATAAATCTAAGAAAGTATTATCTTTTAAGAAAACTAAACAAAGCATCGCAGATCGATTTATTACAATAGTGGAATTAGCCTTTGAATTTAAAGCCGGTTTAGACTAAAACACTATACACGGTACAGTACATATAGTGCACATCGAGTGTAATTGTTAAATTAGAGACACTCGCATTCACAGAGACTGTCAATAAATGACGCTAGTGACCGGTTCGATCTCGAGCGAAGTAAAATTGAATTGAATATACAGATTTTCTATGGTCTTGCTGAGATTTAATACTGAAACGAAAAGTCTGTATCAAGAGAAATTCAAGTTATATTAAAAGCTTCTAATACGCTAATAGAGCTTGTGTTAGGGCAAAAAATATCCTACTTATAACATATAGGGCTTTTAGGGAAACGTTCCCAAAGTTTAACACTTGATGTAAATGTAGTAAATCTCAAGTATAACAACAAATAATAAAAAAGCCAAGCGTGAGTCAGCTTCATGGTAGAATTTAATCCATAATAACGTAACAATAATATTGTACTGAACCCATGGTTAGGGAGTGCGACTCACACTTGACCAATTTATTTTTTTAAATTTAAAACCCAGCCTACCTGCTAGATAATACAAGATGAACTGCAGCTCTGGAATGGATTTCAAGCGCTTATATACCGTCGATATGTTACCGGTTACCTTTGTCTCGCTACATTTTCCTTATACGAAACCTATTTTGTTTATTATTTATTTAATGATGCGTCCTGGCTTTATGAATCTCGGGTGTCATTCGGGATGTTTTCAAGGTATTTTTATTTATACACTAGCATTGCCCGCGGCTCCGCCCGCGTTCAGATGACCAAACACCAAATTCTTAGGTTTTACATATAAGTATACTCTTACATTGCAGTTTTTGTATTTTTTCTCAAAAATGAGATATTTTTCCGTGGTAAAAAGTATCCTATATGTCAACCCGGATAACCAGCTATCACCATATCAAATTTCATCCAAATCCCTCCAGTGGTTTTTCTGTGATGCGGTAACAGACAGACAAACAAACAGACAGACAGACAAAAATTCTAAAAACCATAGATTCGGCCTCTGTATCGATAATAATGTTTATTTTAATAAGATTTTACAAAAAATATCTAATGTACAGATTCGGCTTAGTTACAATTTTATTATCGACGACACGTTTGGCTCAGTTTGTAGTGACCCTACTTATTGTACCAGCGGTCGCGGGTTCAAGTCCTGCTAGGGTCATTCATTTGTGTGATGAACATGAATGTTTGTACTTCAGTCATGGGTGTTTAGATTTATAATATGTATGTATTTAAAGTTATATATGTAGTGTATCAGCTATCTGGTATCCATAACACAAGCCTCGTAGCTTACCATGGAACTAGATGGTGCTGTGTATGAATGTTCCAACATATTTATTTATTTATTTATTTATATGTATAGATTTGGAACTAACTAGAATTTGTATTACTTTTTAACGTCCCACTGTTAAGACTAGCCAAGTTCGGACGGACTTTAGATTCGAAAAATATATAGGTTATCTCAGAGATGCAGGTTCATGATGTAATTAACATAATCTATACATAAGTATAACAAAATTCTGAGTCAAATCGCTAAATTAAATATTTTTTTGGAATTTTTGTCTGTCTGTTTGTCTTAGAACGCATCATGAGAAAACCACTCGACAGATTTTGATGAAATTTGGTGTGACGATAGCTGGTTATCCGGGTCAACATATAGGATTTAGGACTTTTTACTGTGGGAAAATATCTCATCTCTGAGAAATCTATACTAACTGTTCGAACGTAACGGACGAACCCGAGCAGAGCGAGGGTGAGTCGCTAGTAGGTTGTATAAGCCTTTATTTTGACATTCTAAATGTTGTCACATAAAATCACATCTTGAGATATTTAAAGGACAAATATCTATTTTTTGCAAATATCTCGTTTTCTATGGGTCCAATGACATTAACATCTATTAAAAATTAGAGAACATAAAATTTGCAACTAATTTTGTTCATTTTTGATTAATTAAAATTTTTGTTGAATTTAATTTCGTGAAATTTATTAAATTAATAATGCTCTACGTACTAAAGCACTAAAATATTTATATTTATTAATAATTTGAAGTATTTATGAATTAATACATTGTATTAAATAATATTTTACGCATCTATACACATAAATAATATCGAAGTGTCTCTGTGTATGTTAAAATAACAGCTTTTTACTAAATGCGTATCAAATTATACATATACAGTATGTACTTCTATCTAGGCTATCCGACACCTGGACGAATCGGATAGTATTTTAAGTCCTCCCATCGACATGCTCTGTCGGGACCCGCTCGGAGGAGGAATCACCACAGGGACAACCAGTGAGGAAGTCCCAAAGGTCGAGCGAAGCACCGTCGGCCCCACCACCTCCAGTACTTCTAAGAAAAAAACACTTTTTAAAAATTTCATCTGTTTGTCTGTCTGTTTGTTCCGGCTAATAACCGAAAACGTTGGACCGATTTTGACGGGGCTTTCGCTGGCAGATAGCTGATGTCATAAGGAATAATTATGCTACTTCTATTTTAGAAAAAAATAGGGTTCCGCAAAAAAAATTGCATATCTAGGGATGCACCCGAATGTATTAAGGTTAAGTCGCTAGTATCTAATTTATTTGTTAAACTAGCGAGTCATCTTCGCTTTACTTGGGTTCGTCCCTAGGTACGTTTTAACATTTAGTATGAAATACAAATCTTTGAATTTCCCGGCTTTTATATCCTATAATATGCATGTATTATACATATAAACCTTCCTCTTGAATCACTCTATCTATTGCTGAAAACTGCATTAAAATCCGTTGAGTAGTTTAAAAGATCTAAGCGAACAGACAGCGGAAACGACTTCATTTTATACTATCTAAAGATAACATTTCCTTACTTTGTACTATTAAAATCTCATTAAGTGGAATATTTAATCTATATCTTAATTATATTCTAATATATTTTAAATAGATTTAAGTAGACGTAACATTAAATTAAAAAAAACCCCAACAGCCTAAACATGATTCTCTGCAGTATTTTAGAAAAAAGTGAGGTATCTTGCAGGTTCCAGGTGATGCTGCAGCATCAGACCTTTTTTTTTTTTTTATAGTTGGGAAATCCTATTACGGATACCACCCGACTTCCCCCCCAGGGTGGTTATGTGGAGACTCTCCGGCTAATGAGACCGACATACCCACTAAAACCCAACTTTCCCCACAGCCGCCATGTGGGACGCCACGGGACCGCTTTCGCATACAACCGTGACGCCCCGACGGTTGGCCGAAGCCACCAACCATGAGGCCGCCCCAAGCGGGACGACCCCATTATGGGAAGACTTGCAACCCTGAGAAGTGAGACTGCTCCCAAGTCCACTCTGCTGAACAGAGAAGTACCCGGAGCAGCCCCACACGACCAAACACCACCCACCGAAGTGGGCAACCTGCAAAAAATAAGCGGCCTAAGCCTGACCTACCACACCCAAATTGGGCAAACCACCAATACGCCCGAAACCGAGCCCACCCCAAACGGCTGCAGGAGTAGAGGATGCGACAACGCCGACACTCCCCTTCCCCTACAGCCCCACCGCGTCCACCATCAACGGTGGTGGCCCCGCTGGGCCGCGGGAGATAGGGACGAGCGGCGCATCGCCATACCGACACTCCTCTTCCCCCGCGGCCCCCCTACCGTCGGCCCACCTCCGGACCAAGATGGCTGCCGACACCCAC